TTTTTTCAAAAATCCTTTTTATCATAGCAACACCTACAATCGATAAGATTGTATTACTGTATTTTTGTGAAAGCATACGAATGCATATCTGCAGGACTGGCTCAACTCCGTCCTGTTAGCGAATCTATGGTGGAGTTATTTCGTCTACCTACTTGGTCTTACACACGTCACAATGACCGCGGCCAGGTAAGCAATAATCTCGCATATTTTCTACCTTACCAATTTATAATTTGTTATTTATACCTTTTTGCCACTTGATTTCATAACGCAGTAGAAGTTTTCCCGGAAGAATTCCTTGCAATCGTCTATACCGTTTGTGTACGAACTATATCCATTTAAAGGCACAACCCAGGCAGAGTCGTGTGAACGCTTCTCTTCGGTCTGTAGTATAGAACCCTAGAGGACAATCACAAATGTAGCGTTCCCGTGCACGGAAACCAACCGACAAGAGCGCTTGAGGCCTTGCTTCACGCTTTGTCTGTCATGTCCCCTTAGCACATCCGATCAGGAAAGGAGTGAGCAGAAGCCATTAAACCTAAAAGCGTTTGAACCGGGTTCTTCTTCAACTTTTTCGTTACTCGCCGGCCGCACTGGCACCTTGCCACCAGTACATTCGCCTTCGTGTACAGAGAGCCACAACCGAATGTGATCCTGAGGCCACGCCTTTTAAAGCATGTAACAGAAGGGGAAGGGGAGGGGATACAAGGATAAGAGGGTAAAAGCATTTGCCGGTTGATCAATCGCTTTTTGGGATGCGGCACCACGGCACATTCTACTTGCCTATTATGTGTAGCAGATTGATTCGGGTGCTGGCGTTTTGAATGCGATGTGGCCTATACAATGACTTGCGGGGGCCAGCCGATGTACAAGTCAGTGTTTTTTATCCTCCCAGACAAGTCTGGTACCAATTAACCCGACCCCGGAGGGATGGAAGGCTTGGTTGGCCCGGGCGACTCACGACCCAGGATTTGATCCCGGACCGCTCGCGTGGTAAGCGCGCCACTTGTCACTACACCACTTCCGCCTCGACAAAAAAAAGGGGAGGGGAGGGGGGCAAGTGAAGAATTATTAAAAACGGTTTGAGTTGTGCAAGTCATGTTACGCGCTTTTTTCGTCGTTTCGCGTTCGTTTTTTGCTCTTCGGTCAGTTCTGTACCTTTAAAAAAGCTGGTTATACTTGAGAAAATTTTTGATTCGAAAACTGAATGAGAACCAAGGGTGTGCAAAAAAAACCAATATTGGCCTGATAACCTTGTCGATGCCATCATCTCTTACCATTCCATTACGGTCCTGGTCAGAAATATCTAATGAATCTACTAAAGGTGCCGGAACGAGGGCGCCAACACAGGGCTTCACGGAGATTCTCTGCGACTATACCCAGGACCGGGCAGGAACTTAGGGATACACGGATATACACCATGGCTAAAAGTGCTCTGCCGCACCTTGAGTCTTCTGTCTCTCCTACTGGCTTCTCCCGAATTTTTAACGACAAAAGGGGTGTATTTTACAGACCGTTTTGAATTCATCTGCACTCACAATGCCCTCCTCAATGCTGATAGCGACCTATTTCTAAAAAGTTGCTTGTTAACACGTTGACGACCGTGTGGTATGATGTCATACCACACTTTCGCATTGAGCAGGCTAGTTTTCTTATTTTATTTGGCGTTTTTCCTACTCCACAACGATCCATGTACATTATTGGATCCAAAAAAACAATTTTTTCGTTACTGATAAGAACGCTGAAGTTTAATAACTATTAATTAAGGGCAATAAGAAAATAAATGTGGAGCAGCTACACGCACAACGGTGGTCGTGCCAATGTGTTAGGAGAACGCCAAATATCACGGGGGCCAAGCCAATACTCTCACACAGTCATGGCATCTCCTGAAAGGGCTCTCCAGTCACGGTCCTTCTTTAGCCAACAATTTTTTTGAGGCACTTCGTGCAATCTTACTGTAGCACTCCATTATAGAAAAGATATAAATCTAAAGGATAAATGGAAAGATGGATAGTTTATATAATCGTTATAAACAATGGCAAGCACTATTAAACGCCTAATATAAATCATCGTATGGATGCTGATGGATATTCTGCTAAACGATGTGACATGGATGCTTGATATGACATGGCGCGGAAATTCCTCATAAAAATAAATATGTGGTACCGCATACATGGACCCAACCCTGATCCGGCTTACCATTAGCGCAAATCAAAAAATGCCTTAGACAGAGCGTTCAAACGAGTTTCTACGGAACCACATCGTTTTCGGTCAAAAAACGCTGAATTTTCTGCCGGAGAGCTTCTCCACCAAATTGAAAAACCCAGGTTCTGAAGCAGGTGCGTCCATAGGGGTTAAGTACGGTAACTATGGCGACCAGCGTGACCAACAGCATTTTTGAGAGCATCATTTATCCCGTCCTGAGCAGTATTTGTCATACAGTGGGTATCGAAGTGTAGCAGGTAGAATCGCTGTATAAGACTTGCACTTGTCGGATCAAATCCCACTGGGAGTTTCATCCTTGAAGAGCATCTCTTTCATTTCTCGACTGTCCCTGCGAATGTGTTGTCATGCATAGGCCCCTTCAACGCAGGTCCATTCTCCAGTTGCGATTTTCAGTAGACTCATATGCACGGCGTAAATCCTTGAGTACGCGATGATCGAACTCTATTTTAATCTAACACTACAGAACATGAAGAGAACGTGACTCCTTCGAAGCTCGCCCAAAGTGTAAGCACATTAATTGTAGTGGCTGAAGAAACACGACTGTACCAAGTTGCTCTACTCAAGGCTCGTCAGCACCAACCCCAAGCTTGGAATGCTCTTTTTCTGCTTGAATGGCCGCAAGCAGAAAATTGTACTCATCAGAAAAGGCACTAGATATTCACAAAAATACTTACTTCGTTCCATTGGGCTTTTATCAAGGAACTCGGCAATAACTGACTTTTGTAGGATGCGCCACACCTGCTAATTTTACTCAAAATCGCAGAAGCTGTTGGATGCTTATTTCATCTAAACAATTCTTTGCGAGGCCTATAATAAAAAATTCCAACTGCAAGTTTTCATCTTTCTAGGCAAAAACTCTTCCCCGTCCCCATTACGCAAGGATCAGACTTCGCTCGACTAATATCGCTTGGCCAGATCGTGTGATTCGGCCACTGACCTAATGAGTGGCGAGCGACGCCAGCGACTCTAAGGCGATGCGCCGGTGATGGCCTCGTGCGCTAAGGTCGATCGGCTGGCGCATCAGCGCCTTAACTGAAAGTCCTGACGCCTGCATTGTCGACCAGAATGTCCCCGTGCTGGTTAAACTGAATGGGCTCGGATCACGGCCTGGCGCTTATTTCCCACTGCGTTAGGTCTGCGCTACTATTGTAATACTTTGAAACAATATTACAATAATTTTTGTTCCAGGAAAATTTAATGAATATTTTAAAGAAATATTGTTATTTTAGAATGAATACTATAAAGTAATATTATATTTTTTCTTGCTCTAGAAATTGCATGCTTCTTTTTATGCTAGCTTTTCTCGTTTTCGTGCTGATCTGTGCGCTATTCGAGCGTTTATCTGATCACTATACGATCTTCTTATCTGAAACGCTTTCAACGACATCGGACCGCAGCCTGCGTGATATCGTTCCCTAGTGGCGTTGGTTACGAAAGGCGGAATTTTCCTAGAACTTGACGTCTTTCCCGATGAAGACGAGTCATGTCAGGTGAGTGGAACTGATTGCAGACTTGCAAGCATCCCTAGCAAAATCGGACGGAATATCTAGCTATGTCAAGGAGAAGCGGTAGCTAAAATAGCCTCGTAAATCCGTGTTGCCATGCTGGCACTGGAACCTCCCCACGGGAGCGGATTTCCGAGTTAGCCCTTCACAACGGCGGCAAAATGCATTGTGGTTGAGTTTGCCTGGCCAATGCCCCAACCTATGACCGAATTCAAGATGTTCAAAACCGTAGGAGACGGCTAGGTATGAGGTGAGAGAGGACAGATATTACGGGAATATTTCGTATTCTCTGAGACGGTTTCTATGTTTCCATTCCTCATGACAACCGTCGGTTAGGAGCAGGGTCAACCCTACGTTGTTACTAGTAACAACGGGGGGGGGTCGTACCTGGTTGAGTTTATAGGAGGGGGGGTCGTATCCGCTTCAGTCGCGTGAAAGTACATGTGAGTTTGTGGTGAAAGTGGAGTTTTCACGAGTAGTAGGCTAGGTGAGTTGGGAGCGCATGGGAGAAAAATTCGCCGTTTCAGCGCGCGTATATACCCCCGCCCCCCGACGGCATTTTGGAGGAAAAAGTGGGCGGAGTTTGGTGGGTTGAGTGGTACCAGAATTAAATACTATAGAGAGGAATATGGTGGTCGAGGGTCGAAGGGGGTCGTACCAAGTCCACCTTGGGGGAGGGGTCGTAAAAATTTTTGAAAAAGTAACAACGATAGGACTGACCCTGCTTGGGGTACATTGAAGAAAGTGAGCCACTTACAGAACTTGTGACTAACTTTTAGGTAGGAGGGATTCTGGGGAGAACGTGAGCAACCTTGTTTTTCCCTGGCGTTCCTCTCTCTCTCCTGTGCAAAGACCTAGTATCATCTGAAAGGGGTTTTTGAATGCCCTGTTCCGAATACCCCCTCCCCAAAGAAATTAGGTCTCCAATTTTTCTATGACGAGTTTCGCGTTGGTCGAAAATCGCACGCAAATGTTCCCCACAAATAGGGTTAGCTTACGCGCGCAGCCGGGTAACTCATTCCCTCTCCCATCCTGCACCATCCTGCTCCTGTGCGCAACGCTGCGCCGGCGCAATCGTGATATCCTGACCCGCTACCTGTTTCCGATCCATACACTGCTAACATTGCACAATGATATTGACATTTACAAGAATAGCAGCATTACGTGATTTAGGAGCAGTGCAATTCTCGGCATAAATATAATAAAGTGCGAAAGTAATTACTATAATGACAATGATGTCATAATAGTGACAAAACCGACGGATGAAAAAAAATGCCTGATGAGCACTACATATGCAATAAAGTAAAAACTAATTTGGCTGCAACAAACCTTGACATGGGACGTCCGTTTAAGGCATCACTTATAAAAATCAAGCTGCGGCTTGCAAGAGGGAAAAAGAACTATCTATTCTGCACTAGGTTTTCGACCCCAGCTTACTTACAAGGAAATGGTCCCAATTGTGTCCGGCCGTTTGTAATGAGGTGTAGTCCGATGCACGCGTCTTGCGACGCTGAGCTCGAATCCGTTTTCGATTTTTGCCGAACGCTTCTATGAACGAAGTTACGAGGGATTCTTCTCACCGTGGCTATCTCACTGTGACGCCCTCTACATTTGCCTACCCTCTATATCCGCCTACTCCACTTGGCACACATACGAAGAGACGCAGAGCATCTGGACCAGTGAGTCTGGTGGTCTAGTGAATTGCGCTCTTACTTGGGGTAAGGTCGAATCCTCGACCGTAAACGAACATCGGATTATCTTCGGAGGCTGCTGCATAGGAGCCCAGCTATGATGGCTATTTTGTTATCGTTCCGTTCTATTTTCGCGCGCCCGAGTGGGACATGGGGATGTAGAGGGCGTCACAGGTGAGAAGAATCCCTCATAACTTCGTTCAGAGAATCGTTCGGCAAAAACCGAAAACGGATTTGAGCTCAGCGTCGCAAGACGCGTGCATCGGACTACACCTCATTACAAACGGCCGGACCGACCAATTGACCATTCCTTGTCAGCCGCCAATCTTTGGACCACTTTGTTTCTGCTTTCGATTTTGGAACCTTGTTTTCATCTTGCGCAGGGGACATTAGTTAGATTACTTACTCCAAAGAAAGTGTGTACAACAAAGGGTTACTCGAAGCGGAGGCCTAATAAAAGCTTGGCCATTTTCGCGCCTTCATACTTCCACCCGCCACAATGAGCTGCCTCAGCCAATGAAATTTTTACGCTATCTTGCCATCGCTGTCACCGGGGTGTGCGTCATATGGCGCGATCCCATTGGCATTGGAGCGCATAGGCCGTAATTACCACGTCCTGCTGTGTCCGGACAACTCGTCCGCGCAGCACATTTTGTCCCGCTAATCTTGCCTTGGCATCAGGGCAACGAAGCTACCCCAACACTTTTTCCAACAGATCTTGGGACTCAGCGAGATTTTTGAGGGCCCGAAATTATCATATCGATCAGTTGCTGAAGTCTAGCAGTTGTGTGATACAGGCGAGTTGTCCTGGATACTGTGCGCTCTAATGCCAATGGAATCGCGCCATATGACCACCTCCCGTCCACGGCGGCAGAGACGCAGAGTGCCGTTCTCCACGATATGTCAGTAATGTAAAATCTCTCTTGAAGCCAAACAGCGAGCAAGCAGCAGATGATCCTCTTTAGCTTGTTGATTTTGGTACTAAAGAGTACCCATCCCATTTTTCTTGAGTTCTTAACTGTTGTGCCGGCAACTCATCAGACAAGGCCTTAGCGCTCTTGCTGCGCACTTTTGAGTCGCGACTCCTGGGCAAGAAACCCTCTTTCTCGAGGAGGGACTAGTTCTTGGGATCTAATTCGGACAAGTAGCTTCAAAAATATAATGTTTTCAACTATCACTCCTGATTTTCCTGCTTTAATCACATCGATTTTCAGCAAACCGTGAACGAATTCTATGTGGACATGACGGCCATCAATTCAAAGCCACTTTACGGAACTGTATATCGATTTTGGATACGAAACATCGTGACCGTCTTCGTGCCTTTCACTTTACTCACATTCATCAATTTTCAAACACTCGTCAATTTGAAAGCACAATTGAAAAAGGCGAAAACTGAAGAAGGACGACGATTTTCTATGCGATCAGAGAGCAAGGTAAGCCACAACTCAGCTCTTCCACAAGACACTCTTGATGGAGTAGGCCTTACATGGGCTGTTGGGCAGCTGTCAGACTTTGCGAGCCATCGCGCGATTCCGCTGACGATTGACCGCAAGGTCTGACACTTGCTTCCCCGTACACAGTCGTTATGAAGTAGATCCTAACTCCTTCCCCACCTGGCGTTAACTGTGCCCGCTGAGGACCCTTTATTGGTTAGATCTCATCAGCTATCTCCATGCCTAAACCAGGAAATCTAGCTTAAATAAGAGTACTTATTGCATTTGGTTGATCGATCATATCGTTCCCTCGCCAGAGAAAATTCCGTTTATAATGCGGATTGACAAAGTTTTATGGAAAATTCTTTTGACAAAGTTTTATGGAGAATTCCTTGGAAAGTTGCTTCCAAGAAAATAAATATCTACCGAATATTATACTAAGAAAGCCTACTAGAAAAAAAAATAATTTCGCATTCTACTCCAACGAAGAATTAATTGATAATTGCTGCATTTTTCCTTTGGAGAAAAATAACATAATTTCCTTTTCTCATCATCCTTCACAACTCATCACTTCAGTTTTAATCAATTTATCCCCCTCATATCTTTTTTTTATTTATTACACTTCTTTTTTCTCGCTGGCTGAATGGGGAAGTAGTTGAACAGCGTTGTCACTGTTCTAAGTCTCTTATCATACAGTGGTTTTTTTTTCATATCAGACTGACAGTAGCTCACCCTCTGACCAGGAACCGAAATGAAACACATAATATTGCAAAATTCTGAGGAGGGGAGGAGCCTAAATTTTTTAGACGTATGCTCAGACCTCGCTGACTGATCGCGTCTTCATTGAGCTGACACGTGTCACGTTCGTTTTGAAATGGCCCTCTTCTCATGAGAATTGGAATCTTATAAGAAAAAAGAAAACATTTCAAACATAACAATGTGCCAGTTTCATGATCCTGGTGCTCCTAGAAGATAAATGTGTTCAGAAAGGGCTATTAGATTTTTTCTCAAAAGGCACTGCACCCCATCGCTCTCGCGATGACAGGCGATCAGAAACAAACGGAAATGCCTGCTGAAATTCCTAGGAAATGGATAGCTTGGCACGGTTCGCAATAGGGCTCGCAGATTCGTAAACGTGCCAAAATTAAAGTACCAAGGTCGATTATTTTGCTTATCGGACAGGGTCAGAGTACAGAGTGATGAACCTGGGTTGGTTTGGTCAGGTATTATCAAACTGCCCCTTCAACTCCTTGTGTGAATTAATTACTACCACGCTTCTGTGAAAATATAAAACCCTTTTGAAAGGCAAAATGCGTGACAAAAAAGGAAACGTCTATGTATGAATAGTCTCTACAACATCCAAGTAGTGCATTCAAGATAAAAGAATACAGAATAATAACAAATAAATGAAAAACCTTCGTACCGTAACCAGCGTGCAGGGCGCATCTCCAGAGGATATGTCGAAGCAACACTTGATAGCTGTCATAGGATGCCAAGTTATGAGCAAAGCCTTTTGCCTCAAGAGGGGTAAGAACACAACATTCTCGCCTACCGGAAAAGTGTGCTATCTAGCGCAACTGGCACACTTGCCCAGTAAAGCGATACAGATCTGAATTCCGGGGGCAAGGAATTTTTTCTCTTCTTCTTTTGTACCCGTCTACCTATTTTCCTGACTCGTCATTCTTGAGTTAATATAATGGTAAGGGACGACAATTACGCATGCCAATAAAAACTCAATATCTAAACTATTAGTAAAATGCTAGCCAGCGATGGAACTGGGCACTAGCTCCTGCTGCTCGTGAAGGGCACTGCCGGACATTGAGTTGGACAACCATCTGGGTCAGCCGAGCGGCCCCATTCATGTCATGGACCCTCCGCACTGTATTGTTGCCGGGCAACCCGGCCGATCCTGTTAAAACTGCCTGGGGCGATGAGCTCTGGTCAGATCTGTCTGAGGAAGCCTATAAAAGTGTACCTTTATCGAATGGCCTCGCAGTTCATAGACATAGACTAAATTTATTTATTTGTTTATTTATATTATAACTGCTTTGGTGCGCCCAAACAACCCCATTACTATTCCACCACGGTCCAGAATGAAAGTCAAACGCGTGGCGTAGCTCAGAAAATTTCTTGACTCTAAGCGAATCTCACTATTTACTGATGTATCCCACCCAGAATATCGGTCGAGGAAATCCTCGACAGGGGGGTCGTACCTGTTGGGCTGGTCCATGGGGGGTCGTACTCTTGGGGTCAGTAACAGAAGTGGTATCATGGTGCAGATAGGTAATAGGGTATAGCGCAGCAGAAAATGAAAACATCCGAAAAAAAATGATATTAAATTTTCTTTGCAGGTTCAGTCGCTCCATTCCTCCACCTTCATGAGAAGGGCGTATTTGAAGGCAGTACAAAGAATGAAAGTGCATCCCCGCAAAGAAGAGTGCCACATGTGCGCACGCGCTGCAAAGGCACCTCCTCCGCCTATCACTCGCTCCTTCTCCCTTAATACCTCGCTGAGAATGACGCTGTTGTTAGGGACCCTGTCGGAAAAACGACAACCGTGAAGAAAAAGCGCTGGGCAAATGAAGTTGTTTTTTAGGTTACAGGAATACAACACAACTATGTCTACTACAATACAGTTTCGTTCGAAGGTCCCCATCATATAACACCTTTCAATCGATTCTGCAACTGTGAGTGGAGGAGGGATGCATGGCTTATACCAATACCAAATCGGATGATGACGATTGCTCCTATTCTTATTGTTTGCGTTCAAAGATATTGTTCTAGACACATTCCGAGTGTTGCCAACGAGTCACACTTGCAATGGTGAATGAGGGAGCGGATTTCCAGGTGGCCGGATCCGACCTCGATAGATCCTCGACGCAATTATCTCTTCAACCAAAAAGCTGTAGAAGAAAACTAAACAGACCATCAGGAAGCGCAAACCTTCCGCTTTCCAAAACTATCTTCCCTTTTTCAGGATCTTACAATATAAGAGATATATTGCTCTTGAAGTGGCAAAACTCGCGTGAAAATTTGGGCCTCCTCGACATTTACTCGACGAAATTTGACAGACCCTATCTTTCTGCAAGGAAGGCTTCCAGAGCAATTTCGATGCTTGTTGGAAACGCGAAATCCAGCTCTATCTAACTCTACCTCAAGCTGCTTCAAAGGTTGTGAAATGGAGGAATGCAACCTTTTCATCGAGGGTGTAGATTCGGACGTTTTTTTTTGAAATTTCGGCAAATCTGACCCAGTGACAATCGCGCCGCAGCTGCCGTTGAATCGGCCTTTGATACACTCGGCTGTTTTGATATACTCAAGCAAGAATCAAGATTGAATCGCAACCCCGTGTCTTCAGGATTTCTGTGCGTTTCTGAACGAACCTCGCCTTGAGGTCACACAAAGTTAATGCCTCTTTCCTCGAGTCGATATTTCAGTATGTACACAAAAGTATGCAGCGATGGAAGACGTGCATAGATGACAAGATGAAGCGTCCTTAGCATTATTTTGCAGAATTTTTTTTTGATTTGTTTTGCAGGATTTATTTTAATTGAATTAATTTGCTCTGTTAGAGGGGGTCGTGCCAGGATCTCGATTTCGGGGGGGGGGGGTCGTACCTCTGCGACCACGTACTCGACACGATTTTCACCCTGGTCCCCACCTATATAACTTTCAACCTAAATGTACTATTACCTATAATATCCGCATGTCCTTTTCAGAGCAAAGTCCGATCAGCTACATGGACTCTTTTGCTCGTCTGCCTACTGTACCTCCTCGCTAATCTACCGAATGTTATCGTGACAGCATGGGAATTCATCGACATGAAGTCGTTACAAACTGAGTGAGTAGGATAAGCTATATTATATAAATTTCAGTGGGTCCTACCACGAATCGAACGAATAATGTTTGTAAGTCGATGAACCGTTTCAGATTCTATGCAGTTTATATGTTCTGCAACGATCTCGTGTCGTTACTACTCACTCGTCGTAACCAGCCGTGTGCCATGCAGACCTGCCAATCTATCCTGTCGCTTTACGTCCATGGCTTTGCGAATATTAGTGTTTTCAACCAATTATTAGAAAGAAGCTCATGGATCACCGTGATAAAACGGCTGTTTTTAACTCCGTCAAACGGCTTTTTGATAGATATGGCTTGTTTTGTAAATTGAACTTTTTTCTGCGGGGTAAGGATAGTTGTGGTCCGCAGAAGCAACCGCGGCGTGAGCTGACGTAACTTAATGATTTATGGCCCGGCTGCAAACCTTCTAGAGTCGGCGTGCTCGGTCGTCCCATGTTCGCCTAAATCTCTCGCATGCGTTCATGGATGGCCTTTTGGATCTCGCATCGCAAAATATCTCGCAATTCGACCAATCTACTTTACACTTCGCACGCGCTATACGTCGCGGCCACCGCAGAAAACACAGTCGCACATTCCTTCCAAGCTAATCTGCTTCGGCCCTCCTTCGATCATGACCGCATCAAAAAAGACAGCCCTCATCATCGTTTTTAAATGAACAGTGAATTGTGGCCCCAATCTTTATTTTCACTATTTTTTGGTCTTTCTTTCTTTTCATTTACACGTAGTTCACTTTTCACCTCCATTCTCATTTTGGAGTGCACACTGTCGTGGATGTGTCTCTAAACGTGTTAGTTGGCCAAACTCCTGGGATGAATCCCACCACATAGGAAAATCCTCTGGTATCTGACATTTATTATTTCAACACCGCGTATTTTGAAAAAGGAAAACATCTGAAAACCGCAGTGGGTATCCCATCACAGCTTCTAGCGGGCCATCTAAACACAGATCTCTATGGTGTGAATTATTTCGCTCGCTCTACAATTACATTATTAGCATCGTATAGAATTAAATTCAGTTTTCAACTTTAATTAAGTATTATAAAAAGATGACTCTCAATTAACGCAATATTACGGAAGTCTTTTTCGCCACCGCCAGTTTTATTTCTTCGACTAAAAAAATTATTAGAGTTCTCAATTTTTGGGAGATTTTTCAACTTTCATTCAACATTTGTGATTTCAGCTCTGCAATCCTGAACTACGACGGGTGGTCACCCACACATTGCAATTGCATGTGATGAAGCCAAAGATTAAACAGTGTAAATCAGATCCCCCTTTTTTTGTTAATAATTGGCTTCAGTGTAAATAGCATAATATATGGATTTTAATATGTATATGTTCAAATCGATTAAAAAAATTTGGTCGATAAATGTTTTAACACATGAACTTCTTTCAATGGTTCACTACCCAAGAATAACACAACCTAAGACTGGTAGAATTTTAGACAGGATGAGAGTCGCCTCTCCAAAAAAAGTTCGTCAGTGCAGGCCTTTCAGGCACCACGTATGGGTATCCGACAGAAGGCCCGACGCGCAGCAACAAGGCAGACGCAGCGGACGAGTCGCAGCGCGTGCTGCAGTGATTCCGCGTCCAGTGGAAGTAGATTTGCCATTGTTCCCTCTTACGTCCCGCACACCGACACACGTAACCTGTCCGCTTGACTGTAATAATCTTCTTGCCAGCGCGACAGGCTTTCCTGTCGAGGTACATACACCTACAACGAGTTGCGGGTACACAAAGTTCTACGAGAGAGGTTTGCTCAAGGATAGTCAAACCCAGAATGTTGCGCAGTTTCAACTGATCCTGGCAAACGCAGTTGCCGTTTCAGAAAAACGTCGCATCAAGAACTCCAAGAATAGGAATTAGCCGGCCTTCCGCACAATCAGTGCAACAAAAAAATGAGAGTTTGGCGTATCCTGGACGCATCCATGCAGAACTAACGTTAGGCAGGTGTGCAGTCAGGAGATCCGATGCCGAGGAAGCGTCTCGCAATGGTGCGATCGCAGCGATCCAGTTTGCGTGAAAGGATACTCATGCCCGGTAGAAATTCACTAGGATGGACGGGTTACCTGTTTTTCCCTCACACTTTTCACTCCTTTCACTCCTCTTATTTTATGAGCCGCATTTTAACAATCGGATTCATGTGGTGAAATATCCAGTAGACGCAGTTTGAATGGACGAACAAATTCGACCGCATACCGTCAGCCTTACAAATTAGGCCAAAATAACCCATGTCCGGAAAGCGAGCTAAGAAATGCCGCGCACAGAAAGCCGAATGGTCTCTGTCCGTCCTGCAGTCCGGATCTACTCTGAATCGCCCTGAGTTGCGCAGAAGAAATCATGTAGCAGAACGCCCTCCGTGTTGAGAACCTCGACTTCTCTGCGCATCCCAACAGGACGTGTCGCCCTTCGAAGCATCAACTTTTAGGGCACTTAAAAACATGAAGTGGCTCTCCGAAATTGAACAGGGTCGCCGGGATTGTGCTTCGAGTTGTAGTATACGAGTTCTCAAAGGAATCGTAAAGATTTGATTGCTGTATGCGTCCAGCTTGGCTGGGTCGATATCTGTCTTTTCCTCTGCATACTACAACAATTGGCCTTCAAACACTGCCCATCGCTCTCGAAAAGTTCATCCGCGAGCTCATCTTACAGAATGGGCTTCGCCTCAGGTCACTCCCTCGCTGTCCTTGGCTCATTTTTCGAAAATATCTATTATGTTTATTTATTACAGCAAATATTGTTGTAGTCGTAAGTAGTCCCGACTATTGGTCCAAAATGAGCCGGTGTTTGTGTTTCTGCATAATAACAACATTAAAAAGCCAGTCCGACTCCAGGTCGACGGAAGCTGAACGAAAGTCGGTGCAGTTCTATCCGGGAGTATGACCGGCCCAAGCATGTCTGAAAGCGCGCATTTTGTGTACGCCCTCTAAATTCGCATGGGACAGAATCTGAGGGGAAAAGGGGCGGGGGAAGGGGGAGAAGGGGGGGGGGGGGGGGGAAAGGGAAAAGTGAGGGAAGCTTTTTCCGTAAGAGGGAGGGGGCGAGGGTCCGAGAATGGGTCAAACATGGATGCGTCGGAATACGGCGCCGGCTCCCTGGCACCCCGCTTACGGAACCCAAGTTCACCTTCAACTGATTGAATGGGTTTCTGCGCACTAGAAAGGCCGTATCGAGGAAACTCCCCGAGCATTTGTCCGTTTAAGCCTGTCCCGCTGCTTTAACCGCTCTCGGAACAGAAGGATCAAGCGTAATCCGAGGACTGCACAGGGTCGAACTTAGGCTACGGGAAGAAAAGGTAACTTTCAGGAGTCCCCGCAAAGCTCGTCTCAGGAAAGTTGTCTACCATAACCTTTCTGCACGCAGCGGACTTTAGATGAAGTGGATAAGGGGGGGCAAGTTGATAGGGAAGGGTCATACTGTTTCCTTCCTCTCCCTAGCGTCAATCCCGCACCGTCGCAATCTCCTTTGATAGTCATCACCACTTAGGTTTCAGAGGGCATCTTCAAAAAAAATCATACCTGGAAAAAAATTGTCACATGCTTAACCTTGCTCTACAGTATCCTCTGCTCCCACTATCATATTGTGCAGAGTTACGTAGTTTTGATTAGCAAGTACGCTGCTAACTGCCAAGAATGCCAAAGGTCGGCGCCAAGATGATGTTTACGCTTCGCCAGCTAGGCGAGTGAGCTGATAAGGACAAGATGGCTACACCGTCGTTTCACACCAGCGTTATTACAGTCTTAAGCCATGCTGCCCTTGGACTCTGGACATACTTTTTTATGACGGTGTTTCCTTCAGTCATGATAGCTCTTCTTAACTCCAATATTGCCTTATTACTTGTATGCTTACTTTACCACAAAGTTTGGGTTATCACATATCTGGAAAGTTGCCAATAACTTTTCTACAGCGTCTATTGGACCAATGCGGTCTCCATGAGCGACTCAAGGATATGTGTTGTGCCATGGTCGTATAAGAAGTACCTAAGACTACAAGTTGTCTCGTTATCTGTTTTCTTTCTTTGAATACCGGTTTTCTATTTTTAGAGGGTTTTCAAATAGGTGGTCACTATGAAAAACAAAGATTAAAGGCAGTGTACACGGAACTCTGATTTCGTGTTCTTTGGGGCACGGTTGGCTACTTGGGGACCTTGCCAAGGTTCATACCACAGGTCAGGTTTAGGCGCGCCAAAAAACCTTATTTCGCCTGACTGATGCAATAGCAAAGCGCTGTGAACTGCCAAGTCTAAAAAGGCGTAGAAAAAAAAACGAAACAAAATAAACAAGTCGAAAAAACTCCAAAATTTCAAAAAAAAAATAGATTTGAACACGGTCAAGAAGGTTTTTTCCATGACGTTTTTCATGGTCTTCTTTCCTTTTGGCAATCGATTTTTTCATCCTCGCCATTTTTTCGTGAAGTGCCAAGGACGACCTGCCGAATGGTGAGGTATTCATGAGAACATTCCGTAATAACTTCGTAATCGGTGTGTTTGAACAGTGATAACTAATTGTTTTTCAGTTTGAAAATTTTAGCGATTCCCTTTGCTGTAGGGGGGGGTTCTCGGTAACGCTCCTCACAACACAACCATCCAGCACTTTCCGTCCTAAAGGCGTCGACCACACCAACCCTCAAGCACAGCCGCTCAGTCGCTCGCAATTCCCGAACCACAATCACCACCCTCGACCGAGAATAGACTTTTGATTCTGAAACGCATAAGACAACCGTCCTTTTCACGTTCCTTTAACACACCCTCTCGTCGCAACCCCGAACCGTACAACTCCCGAGAATACGGTCGCCCTTTCTTTCAACTCTGTGACCTGCTCCACTAACCTTAAGCGATCTTCGCTCGAGAAACCAACTAAATACAACCTTAGAAACTGCGCAACACTCAGTGATCGAGTGTTGGAATAGCCTGGCAATTTATTAGGTTGTCCTGAAAGTCTTTGCCCATTTCCATGTGTATGTTGTGAAATCTCCAGGGATAATTTTTGAACATCCATTGTAAAACGTATGTGAGAACCCCAGTCGATGATCTCTCCAGAGCATCTCTGCCGTGGTATTTCGCAGCGATTATGGCTGAGAAAAATCGACTTTGACTGAAAGCATATTTGGCTACTCTTGATTCTGAAACCCAGAAATGCGTCAGTGGAAGCGATGTGGCAAGAGCCCTACGTCTTGCGATGGACCTCCAAAGCGTCTTTCAAGACATGGCAATGTCCAGAAACTCAAGAAAAAAGCCCAAAGTCGGTTGGCTTGTTACACTGAGTGACGAGTGTCTTCTGGAGTTGTTTGGAAACAGTCTCTGGTGCAATGCACGGTAACTGACACAGCTTTTCCACAGTTATCAGAACACAATAGCCATTCCTCAATAGCTCCTCAAAAAGAAGAGAAATTATGGCAAAAGGGAGATTTCGTGATCTGGGTGACAACCGCCTTCAGAAGCCTTCAGATTTTGCATGAACATTTTGATTTACCGTCTGTATCTTGCTTTGACCCGACTACTTTGTTGGTGGTAGCAAGGAGTGGGTTCCTCAAGTAAACCACACCCGCGAGCGCCACTGGCTCAGACGCGTAGAACCAGAGATTCCGACGTCCATTCCAGCACTGCAACTTGAGAGGCAACTTTCAGATTGGTAAAGCTGCAAGCGATCCGTTTGCCGACAGCTCCTACCAACGAACTTCACTGCTGTTGTAGTTCGATAATGTGGGCAAGCGGATGGGATCTCCGCACTATGCGTAGAAAACATTACAAAGATCACTTCATCCAAGCAACGACCGTCAAGGAATTTTGAAGAAGGTCCAGCAAAAGTCTCCAAGCCCCTTATGGGATGTTCTGTCTCGCCATTTGTGTTCAGCAGATCCGGCCCCAACAGAATACCGTCTGCTTCTGTTGCTGCTGATTCAACTAAAAGAGGGAGAGCTTTATGTTCCGGACTACTCGAAAACGGACTTCTCCAGTTTTTTGCCTTGAAAGCTCAGGACTTCTAGGCAAACGGCATCCACAAGTCACCTGCTGAAAGGCAATATGTTGACGATTACGATGGGGCATATGACTGTAAATTGCTGGCTGGGCTAAAGAAGAAAAGTGGATTTGAAAAAAAATCGACAAATGGGCAAAGACTTTCAGGACAACCTAATAATTTTCAGTCAGAAATTTGGAGAAATATACGTGAAGAATAAGCGATCTGCAAAAATTGCTT